CACGTTAAATTGGATATGAAAATATCTTTTATAAATTTTATCCGTTTTAAGAAGAGGTTTAAATTTCAGTGGTTGTCCAAAGGAGCTGCACTGTGGCCGAGTATTGTGGCGGGTTTCAGGAATTTATAAGGTTTAAGCTGAATATCCTAAAATATTTTCCTGGGCAAGTTGAGAATTTTGACGATGGTTATAACGGAATTAATTAATATTGTTGTGATGCATGTTGAAAAGTATGTCTTTAAGATTATTTTTTTAATATGGTTATGGATGTGAAAGGAAAGACAAAAGATAATTCTAAGGCACGAGTGGATATGACTCATATTTTGTGATTGAAAAGAACTGAATTTGACATTATAAGACAATGTTATCCTACCGTTGTATTGACGTTGGATAAGGCCCATAATAAAGAATTCCCAACTTGGATTGAACATTTGAAAATATCTGATGGATATATGTTCAATTCAGGACGATGTGTCAACATAACTCAATTTCGCTGGATGAACCCTTTTGAGAGGTAACCACTTATAATTTATTTCTAATTTCATATAGAGTGTTTCGTATTGTGTGTTTATTAAGACATATCAACATGTTTTTTATTTCAGATGTTTTCACCATTTAAAAAAAAAATAATTGCAAATAAGACACAAGCAAAGAGGTCAATACTCAATAGTCAATATATTTCTTGTTCGGGAAGCAAATTTCTTATGTTCACATTATTTTGAATAGCATGTTTTCAAACATAGGAGAAACATCCCTAGATAAGAGGATGGAATACTAAGATCCAATCTGAATATTCGAATTGATGTGTTGTCACACACTTACCATTTGCAAGATAAACCGCAGAAACGGTATTTGCTGCTAGCTTAGAAGCATACAATATAGACATACTTTCTACTCAACAGTCTAAAATATGATGCATTCATTTTGTAAATTTTTGTAAAATTCATTTAATTTCCATAACACACAAAAATGTGGTGGACTAGACTGTATTCTCACTCTACCTACTTAGGTTGTTCAAGGAAGCATTAAAGCGAGATAATTCCTCAATCTCCGACATTGAAGTTGCTTCACAACTCCAAACAAATTTTACCTTCTACTTTTCAAGATATGTACATGCATAAAAAATTTTGTGGCCATTAAGATGTTTTAAAAAACATGTGATAGCTATATTCACTAACATCGTAGGTCATCGAACAATATAACATTCTAAAAGTGTACAAGGACATTGCGCATAGTCCTTTAGTGAATGTAACTAGGCATAATATGTGCTTCTTCAGTGGTTATCATTTTCACACTGAGAAATATAGTAGTAAAAAGGCCATAATAGAGGAGTGTGCGTGGATTCGGTGGTTTAGAGTACTACAGACATACCCATAAGATTTTGGAGGTTGAGTTTTCAGCACTACCGATCAAGCATTGTGTCTTTTTCAACTATGATTGGTATGATTCAACGGTTGGGTTGGAACTAAAAAATATAAAAAAAATACAACATGGTCAAGGTGAATAAGAAGAAAATACTACGAAGCTATGAACCGTTCATACTTGCAATGCAAGCAACGTAATGTTTTATTTTCCATTCCTGAGTATGAAGAGGGACAAGATTGATTGATTGATTGACAATATGCCATATTGAACCACGGGGTTTGATCAATGTAAGTAATAAAATTGCTGATAATGACATTGAACCAACCACGTATCAAGATACAATGGTTGAAACTTGCACCATTGAACAACCCACTGGGAGGCAGCAATTGTATTTGGCATCAACAAATGGAGAGACTAGTATTCCAATCAACGCTACAGAAAATTATGACACGATTGAGCAAGAATTTTTTTTTTTTTAGCTTTTCTATATCATAAAAAAATCAACTTCCTTCATCTAGTTCCAATGATAACGTAACTGATGAATAGGTCATTGAGTGTCATTTTATAATGTTCAATTCATGTTGTAATATAATCTCGTGTATTGTATATCTTAATGCAAAATGTATCAGTCCGAGAAGAAGAGGTTACGGCAGTAGCATCTACGTTAACTTGCCCAATCATTTCGCCTATTGCCTCAAGCGGGGTAGAAAGATCAACGGACGCAGGCACAAACAGGCTAGGGGGTAGGAGAAGGCAAAGACCTCGACGGCTATATATATATCCACTCTAAATTAAATGTTGGTTACTTGTATAATTTTATCTTTAAATGAATTAATATTATATTATGTAGGTACACCATCTGAAGGAGCAGCTTACGCTTCCCTTGGGATCTCGGCGGGTATGTATATCCATTACAAATCAATAGTTATTTTACTTGGATTATATTTTTTCTATTGAGTTACTAATTCCATATCCTTGCAGGTATGCCATTTAGAGGTGCAGCGCACGCCTTTTTTGAGACCACGTAGGGGAAACATTATAGTAGAATGAACCTGTTTATTCTTTGATTTTAAACTTATTAATGTTTTTTTAACTAAAATTTCGAATGAGAGTAGGTGGGTCTGGGGCTGCACCTGGGACGTCAAATTCTTAGGATGGGGCCAATGATGATGAGTATGCGGATGATGGCAGGTATGTCTTTACTTTACTCAAACATAATGTTACCTTTGATCTAGTGCTGCATCGAGGTAGTTCTGGCCTATATTCAAGTTTTGCCCCACCCTAGAAGAGCACACTTGGAATGATGTGCCTTTGGAACCAAACGATGATACGAAGTCGAGTTGAAGATAAGATTAAAAAATTAATTATACCATCCAACAAATAAAGTTTTACAATTACATGATTGAAAAAATAAATCATAAAGTAACTGATAATGCTTTGGCTTTCTGAAACACATTAAGTGGAAGCCCAAAAATGACGGACTTGTCTGTCCCATCTGCAACAAGAAGGCATGCAGGATAAACAGAAATAGTTCTATAAAGTCCACAATGAAAAGGACCCAAATGACACCTCGGTCATCCCCACTCCTATATTGGAGTTTTGGAGACAACATTGGACCTCTGAGGATGCCAAAAAGAAATCAACGAAATAAAAGCAAACCGACATGGCGGAAATCCTAACGCCGTTGGAGAGCACATGCACACGGGTAGATCCTAGTTGTTTATGGAGACATTGATGAAAATTTTAAGGTTTATTTATAGTAATTAATTTGAAATAAAACAAGCATATCTTCTTATATGCGTTTACGAGTGTAGGGTCTCGAGAAATGAGAGACCTACGAGTTAACGCATACAAAGCGCCATGGCGGTCATGAATATTGCAGAACAAAGGAACATCGTATAAAGATACGTCAAAAATGTTATATAGTATTATTGTTCTATGTTACTATCAACTTTTAGAATATCAGTATTGATATTAATTACTTTTTGGAGAGTATGACTGTGATCGAGAAAGGAATGTCTTAGCTTAGCGATATAGAGTATAAACGTGATGAGACGCTTATTTCCTTAATCTACTAGGATAAAAAAAAAAAAAGGGAATTTTGAGCTTGGGTCGTTTGGAGCGACAGTTGGACTCCAAGTGGTTCAAATTACGCTCGGCACTTGGAGCAGCTTGAGAGGGTCAAAATAACAATTATAGAGAAGGTCAAGAGGATCAACGCATGCTTGGACAGGCACGACCGTGATGGCAACTAAGGTGCGCCATTGGTTTGTTCAAATTTATATTTTTCGGACAGTTTCATATGTGGAATTATTGATGTTATGATTGTATTATACGTTTTGCACAATTTCATAATTCTTTAGTTTTATGTGACTGTAAGCCTTTTATGTATTATAATAGGCGTTCACAATGGATTTTTAGTTCTTTCGCTATGAATGCATGATTGTAGTTTGAAATTTAATTATGTATTCATATATTGTTTGCGACAGATATTGGTAAATCGTGCAATGCAAAATTGTATTAAAATTGGAATAATATTAGCGATGAAATTTTCCATCACAAATATATAATGCTGAAAATAAAATTTTGTCTCGAAAATTGCGGATAGAATCAGGGACGAAAAAAATCCGTCAGTAAAGGACGAATATTATGATCCTAATCGGAGATGAATACTTTGTTTTTAATTTTGTCTCTAACTTTTTCGGTAATATCATGCGATAGAATTACGGACGGCTAGTTTTCGTGACGGGATATTCACAGACATAATATATTATGTCTATGATACTATTGCTAATTTCTCTATGGACGAAAAATGGAGGATTAGCGTCAGAAAATTTTCATTGCTAATTGACTATTTTTTGGAATGGGCAATGTGTTTGGTTTTAACTTGAGCTTGAATTTGAGATTTGATTTAAATAGTATTTTGATGTAATATTTATAAGAAGAATAGTATATTTCTACTAAAAATCGTGCAAACTGACTATTATAAATTTGGGTTTAAAATCACAAACAAACAAACCCGGCTTTTAAAAAAAAAAATTTAAAGAATCGTTACAATCATAAATAGAAAAATATTGTCAAAATAATTATTATTTGTTAAATGATAATACAATTATAAATGAATAATTTTTTACTATAAATAAATTATATATTAATTTAGTGAACAATAACAAAAAAAATGGCAAATTATCCTATAAAATACATTTTTTCGTCCTGGACGAAAATATACATTTAGATTTTTGTAGTAGATTAAGAATAATAATATTTTATTCGTCAGTAGAAATGTGAAAGATGATTTTGATATTTTTATTCTTTATACTTTTTGTATATGCGTAATAATATGCTTGTAATCAATGTAAGAATTAATAGTATTTTGATATTAGTGTGTGATTACTTTTATTATAATATGAAATAATTTTATATTGAGTCGGACAAAGTTGGGACAGAGAGAGTATTATATATTCTTTTAAAGACTTATAGATTAGGTAAGTGTCTGAAGTAGGTCAGGTCCAAACCTTATAGATATATATATATATACATATATTTTCATACTATAATATTTAAAAAAACAAACATAACCTATTTAGCCAAAGCTTGCATGACCTAGCCCATTTCCACCCTCCAGTAACCTTATAGGAAATTATGGGTAAAATAGCATAAATATCATCTATAGGTTTTGAAATTTGCATAAAAACTCCGGAGGTCAGAAAATTCTATTTTTCCCACTTATGTTTTATTAAATGTTGCGCAAAATGCTCCAGCCATTAATCTTTAACGGAAGTTGATGTTCAGGTGCTTATACTACAATTTTTCTTTCAAATTCCTACTAAGGGTTAAATAAAGTTACTAAAATACTCTTGTAGCCTTTATTAGATGGTAGATCCAACCCTCTCCTAAATTGGGATTGTGCACTACGAAGAAGGGCTAGCAAAAATATTGAAGTCTTGCCATTATAGTCTATCATTGAAGCTCGAATTTCTAGTCCAATAGGTATGTCCCTATTGAACAATACCTCGCTAATAAACTTCGATGGTGGTTTTTTTTTTTTTTTTGGAATTTTGAATTTGATTGGATTGGATTTCTTGAGGTTGAGCTAGGGCTTTTTATTGGTAAAAATCGAAAATATGAGTTTATCAATTTTGAGTTCATGGATAGTCAGTATTTTATAGTGAGTAAGTTGTTTTTATTGTTTTTATTTGCGAAAATTTAAATCTTCTTTGTTCCAATTTCGTGAGGTTGAAATAAGGATTGTAATTCGATTATTCCCGTTGGGTTTAACCTTTCAAATTGAGAAAAAGCTATCAAAATTATGAAATCAAAGTCTGTAGGTATTGAATTTTTTTTTTCTTCTTTTTTTTTTTTTTTTTTTTTTTTTTTTTTGAAGAGGTTGTTGGCTTATGAATTTTGTATTGAATTTCTTGGTACATAAAAGTATCCTTTAACTTTACTCATATTCTTCAATAGAAATGTCATGTAAAAGTTCAAGTCAAAGTCAAGGTAAGAGAGATCTTGATATGAGGTGCAGGTGTCCACGATGCAAGTGCGGGACATTGACAGCCATTCATGTTGTTGGATTGACGACGGAGACACAAAGTAAATTGTTTTGCAATTTCCCAAAGGAGCATGTGATTTTTTTTGTTGGTTTGAACCTATTAGCACTCAGCCTGAGGAATAGAGCAACTCTAGTGATGAAGGAAATAAGATGGAGGTTAAATCGGCTACAGTTGATTAGATGCTTTGAATAAAGGTCGTCGCCAAAGAAGTAGGGCAAGAAATTAAGGTTTTGCGTGTAAGAATGAAATACATTGAGGGTAAAATTGCTCATAACTCCCATGTAGTTTCAAAATTATGCATAAAATCTCCATGTACTTTAAAATTGCATGGCACTCCCCTATGCTTTCAATAACGTTGCATAAAATCCGACCCCCTATTAAGCTTCCGTTGTGTAATGGGAAGATGATTTTCTATCCATATTTTTTGCATGGCGGGGGGTTTCATGCAATATTTTTTAAAGTATAAAGGGACGTCATGCAATTTATTTAAGTAGAGTGAAAATTTACACTGAGTTTTGAAACCACAAAAAGGTTTCATGCAACGTTTTATAAGTATAAGGGGCTTCATGCAATTTTTAAAGTAAAAGAGAGATTTACGCTGAATTTTGAAATGACAAGGGAGTTATGAACAATTTTGCCTACATGGAAGTACGAAGTTTTGTTGTACTTGCGATTATTATATTGAAAATCATGTTTATGTAGGTGGTAGTTGGTATGTGTTGGGTTTGCGTTCATAGTGTTTATGTAGGTGGTAGTTGGTATGTGTTGGGTTTGCGTTCATAGTGGTGTGAAACAACCATTTGTTTACGGTGTCATTGCAATTATGTTATTTGATTGAACTTCATGGTATGGGTTGTGTACCATTACATTCAAAGACTAATGGTTCGGAAGGATAGTAGCATAAATCTTTTTATAAGACCACTACACAATATATAACATAACAATGGATACGTAAATATATAACATACAACCACTAACCAAGGATCTGATCGGAGTTCTAAATCCAAAACATAAACCCCGAAACAAAACCACAAAATGGATGCATAAATCCATAGCATACAGCTACTATAAAACCGACTACATATGCACAAAGAATAAGTAGAGTTGTTAAACGAGTCGAGCGAACTAGAGTATTGGTTGTTCGAGCTCGACTCGAACTTGTTAATGGTACAGGCTCCGCTCGGCTTGTTGAGAATTCAAGCCAAAATAGTGTTTCGAACTCAGCTCGTTATGCTCAAATTCAAGCTCGAGCTCGGCTCGTACGGCTCGAACTCAGAGCTCGGTTTGAACATATTCTATATATTTTTAAATATATAAATTAAATATATTTAATTTTATTCATAAATTTTTGTAATAAAATATCAAATTTTAATAATAAATGTAAATTTTGTTATAAAGAATTATATATACTATAAATAATATAAATATATTATTACTAACGAGCTCAACTGAGCTACTCGCGAGCCGAGCTCATTTGTAAAAAGATAATTTTCGAACTCGAGCTCGGCTCGTTTATAGAGATAAAAGAGTCTTGTCAAGCTTGGCTCGCGAACTACTCGATTCGTTTAACAACTCTAGGAATAATACCAAAAACGACAAACATCAAACCATAAACCAATTTCATCATCACAATAATTAACCTTACATCCATCCAAACTCCACATTCTATAAAACCACAAACTCAATCGGTGATAATCTATAAACGTGGACCATGACTAGACCCACCACCTGAAGATCCTCGACACCATAGTGGTGTGACTGAGAACCTAATCGGGATGATAACGGTTAACGTCGCAATGGTCTGCGTCTATCCACTATGCCCGAGGTACCAGGCATGGATCTTGCAAAGCCTATGACATAGGTGTGATGTGACCCGAGGCATCAACTTCCACCCAACCTTACAAAGATTATACAGATTTCCCACAATTTGGAGTGTTGTTATGTTCCGATGAATGATAATAAAATAACAAAAGTTAACGCTTTCATACTGGATAATATATGTTTTCGGTCTATAAGGGAACGGTGTTGGGCTGTTCAGAAGCGTGTCGCGGCCTACTGCTACTCTGCATGGTCAAACCGATGATGAGAAAATAAATTTAAGCATAGCATAGAAGAGAAAACGAGAAAGACAGTCGTACCTTAGGCCGAGGAACATCATTTTTTAAATTGGCGTATGTTGAGGCCCTAACGACGCATTTTGTACACGGCGTACATAGAAATAATATATTTCCCGTAGTTTACTTTGAACATCTGAAAACATCTTCGTCACATCGAAAGGGATACACTAGTCCCTCGAAATACATACCGGCAGGAACCTCAAGCCTCCAATATGTGAACCTAACAACAGTCGTTCTTCCTCCAGCATGAGCATATATGTTGAGGATAGCACCATAGTACAAACGATCCAACCACCCCTGTAACGTCTAGCAAGGCTCTTATACACAATGTATCCACCCACCCAAATATATACATGGTAACTAATTTATCCATTTTTTGGGGCACCACAACAGCAATAACGACAAATCTGCACCCGTAAAAATATTGCACATTAAAACACGATGACCAAATACACACAAAAATTATGACTAATTTTGAAACCTACGACTTAATAACCACTAAAAAAAGAATATTGCACATTCCGACAAAAATTACACAAAACAAACACAAAATTTTCAAATATAATACGCATCAGTACACATTTTCAAAAAAGCAAGTGATGTATTTAATAAAACACAGGTAAGGAAAACAAAATTTTCTGAAGATTTTATACTATTTTGCGTAAATTATATATGAATGTGTGCGATGTCTAATATAAAGTGACAACAGTAGCAATAGGCACGTTAATTCTGTTTTCTTAGAGGCTGGCATAAAAATACACAATCACATATGTATGATGTACCTATGCTCAGGGCTGCTCCTCTCTTTCGATCATAAGAACATATATAACTCCGGAGATGGTACAAACGACAACATGCTCTCACCAAAATATTCATACAACTGGCGCAGAAAATTTCCATTTCCGCCATCGGCATCAGCATCCTTCTTCCACATCCGACCAAGAGATGCCGCTGTAGTACTCTTCAACACTTGACCCCCAACAATCATTTCTTTTCTCCCCACCATGTTGTTATTCATTACAGGCCTCGAATGTTGCATCGTAGAGTTATTGTCCATGTTCGCAGCAGGATATCCGCTGCTCGTGCCTGCCATTGCCATTGCCATTTCCGCAGGGAGCCCCATCAAGCCTGAAGTCTCTGTGGCTAGTTTCTTTGCCGCTGGTTGGTGACCCGCGTTATCCATGCTTGCCTTGCGCTTATCTTTGACACAATTGATAAAAGACACAAAAAGAGCATTGGAATTTGGAATCAGAATCGTTGCAGAGTAGGCATCATTGATGCAGCAAGAGGAAAGGAATAAGATGATCATACTTGAACCTGTGGTCATCACTTTATTGTTGCATTTCAAGATGGATCGTGCTGGGGGCGACGTTAGAGAAGGTATAATCTTTAACCTGTCATACAAGCAGAGGCCAGCCGCACTCTAAGAAGGGAAAGGGAAATCCGGGTTGGTTAGGTTATACAAAAATATCGAATACTACATGAATAAAATAAATATGAAAATATGATTATCTATTCTGGACAGCTTGATTTATGTCTCGGACTATAACACAACATCCATCTAGTTGATTCTACAAAGTCTACACAACCAAAAAGTTCCGTCGTAGAGTTTGGGCAAAGAATTTGTGACTTAATGAAAGGTGGTGCGCCAATTGATGATCACTGTGACTAATAATGCCACATTCTTGATAAGAAAGCATGTTGAAAATCACATTCACACAATTCTTTGCCATGCACGGGTCAGAATGAAGCTATGACAAAACTAAACATCCTAAGCTTGCCTTCCATGCTAAATATCAGAAGTTTCTATATTTGAGATAACGGATAGATATTTGTTATGTTGTGACTTTGAAGCCCTAGATAACATTAAAATTTGTTTAAAGAATCAAAAGGTTATATCCTACCATTAATGCCCCGTAGACAAGCCAGGCTTCATGCCTCTTTGCTTCATTCTTTTGGTTCTCCAACTGCATTTCTGGCTCCAGAAGTCGCAAATAAGCCTCGAGGTTGGGCAGCACAAGCAATCGAATCTGACCAACATTTTTTAACCGAATTCACCCACCAATTAGATATATGATGTACAAGATAACAGTGAAGCAGAGAACATAGGAGTGCACGAGCATAGCATAAATAACAAAAGAACATAGAGAATGAGAAGAAAAAAGCACAAAATACCACATTAGGACCAAGGGCTGCTAGCCCTTGAATAGCACCATAATGTTGCGGAAGGGCTTTTGATGGGTCCAAGAAAGCGTGTAGCAATGTCCTGGTCACACGCGGCTGGAGATTATGGTAAACATGGCCAAACCTGCAAAAGTTCAGCCATGAAAGGAATTTAAATAAAAGTATGATCTAAATCTACTTACAAAAGCACTACAACGGCAAAATATATGGTTTCAGTTCCACCAGATGAATAGAAGATGTGAATGGATAAGAGAATTCATTATGTGATTGCAAAGAAAAACAAAGGAATCTCGCCTCTTGCATACTGAAGCAAGCAGCTTTGCAGTGAAGTTTCTTAGATTCCAGTGATTGTCAGAGAATTTGTTTCCCAATCGTTTGGCCACCAAGCACGTCATAATTGAGGGCATCAATTGGTGCAGCTAATTAAATAATCGAAGCAAGAATTTAGTAACTTAAAAAACATAAAACACAACTAAAGGACAGACTTGCGACACTTCACCAAAATTATAGAGTAAAAGGTAAAAAAAGCTAATAAAGGTTCAACTCTTCTTCCCATTTTCACAAGTTAAATACAGACTTCGATGTGGCTGGAAAAATATAAGCCGTCCATACAAGTATAATGGAGAATTAACGGAACGTTATAGAATATTTAAAGCCAACTTAGAACCGGCGCAACTCACTAGATTGTTACTCTACCAAATATTGTAGTTGCCTTAAACAGAAAACAGTAAGAAAAGGGAAGACCAAAAAATGGAACAAAACCAAATAAAACTTACATATGGCTCAACATGTATGTGCAGATTTCGAAGAAGGCTCCAAACAACACGCATCAAAGCAAAGAGGACGGTAAAATTACTCAAGTTTTTAGAAACCTGCCATTATCAAAAGTTAATAGCCATCACCAAGTACGAGTACTACTGCTCCAGTTCTGTAGTCACTCATTTTTACCTCCTCCGCAATAAAAAATGTGAAGTAGGGGAGCAATGGATGAATTCCTGAGTCAGTTCCCAAGCTCAGTAATGCTTGTTTAAACAATGGGGAGTCTGGTCTCTTAACAGCCAGGTCAGTGATCTTATGAAAGTAAAGCTGCGCCACCACTCCGTAAATGAACAATTAGCTTTTATGCAATTTTTATTGGTGCTAAAGAAGAAGGTACATAAATACTTTCATTAGTACCTGAAGCTCCTTCGAAAGCACGTGCTTAATCGGAAACTTAATGTCAACCGGCACTCCATCATCTTTAAATTCAGCCTTCCTGGTATCAGAAGGTATTGAAAATGCTGCATGTAAAAGAGCTTCATTAATAAGGATCAGTAGCATAAAGAACCTACACAACAACACTAACGTATGCATGGTCGTTCAACAGCAGAAGGATTAAAAGTGAACACACGTATCCTGGATGTGGTATAAAGAATGGATTCGATTTTTTTAACTGTTTAGTTTAGATTGGTTATAGCATTTATTGAATATAATAAGAATTAGTACTCTGAAGAGCTTCAGGTGGAGGATTTTCTGGAATAGCAGGCTGAACTCCTTCAATAGCTAGCCAGTGTGCAACCACCGCTGTGTCTAATGGGGCCTTAGGTAGAGGTGCTTCAATCACCTGAAAGGCATGAAATGTAGCAGCCAATGAGATAAATTCCAATCTTAATCTCAGGAAACATAAAATCCAATTCATACCTCCTTGAATTCCACATCCTTTTCTTCAATATAGAACAAATTCCTGTGACCTGCAGCCCTAGTGAATCGCAGTGGATTCTTAGATGCAAATCCATATATTGGCTGAACAATTCAAATAAAACCATCAGAACCACACCAAACTCCAAACACAAAGTCAACTCAAAAAGCGCAGCCAAAATCCAAGAGAATCTTAGGAGATCCACAAGAGCAACAATTTTACCCAAAAATAAGGAAAGAAATAGCATGAGTATTTTCAGGTGAGGATCAAAACCTCGATGTTTCTAAATCCAAGCGCGCTATCCACGTCTTCTGTCGTTAAAGTAGTTCTTCGTGAATGCCGCATGGACTTGATTGCTTCCTGCATCAATTAGCTCTCATTCAATGACGAAAATGCAAAACTGAATCTTTCAAAACGATATAGTTCGAACAGGGAACAATAACCTGCATGATTTCGCGAATGCGGTACTCCACATCGGCAGCAAGAGCAGGCAAAACATCTGGAGATAAGTTGGAGATGCCTATACTCTGTGCAATCACTTCGATTGCTTCTTTCGGAACGATGCTCATTCTCAAATATCTCGAACTAATTTCCCTTCAAGAAGAGAATTCGAATACCAATAAGGATACAATCGCGTAAGGGAAATCGCTCATATCACCTTCAAGTTCGTGTCGTTAGTTTCTTCCTTCGATATTCTGGAGTGCTAAATTGGAGTCGTTTCCACGTTAGGGTTTTGGACAGCCAGGGTGGGGCAGAGCGACCTCCTTTCTGAAATTGATGCGAATTTAGTTAGGGCCATACGGTAATTATTGATACGGCAGGCACGCTGGCAAAATACTTATTCTCACTTTGCTTTTTTTTTTATCATTAATTTATTTTTTTTTTTTTTTTTTAGTAAAATAGTATTATTTTTTTATTAAAAAAAATATATTATATCCTTACATTTTCTTAAAATTTATGTTTGATCAAACAAGCATACAATTGGATAACGGAGAAAATATGATAATACCATACAAATTAAGATACGAAATAATTGAAGTGAATTAAAATTTCAACTTATAGTTATACTAGTCAATATCAATCTAACATGACAAGAAAAATGTCATTAGCTTCGACTTCTCATGTTATTAAAATATATATATCTCATTATCAAAATAATACTATTAATATCGTTTTTAAAATTTTACATGTCACATATAGTTCACATGATTTTTTAAATTGATCAGTTTGGAAACTGCAGGAAAATTAAAATTGAACCGTGACAATTATATATTAATATTAATTAATGTGTTTATTATAGTTATAAAATAATATTAATTTTAATATTTTTTAAAAAATTATTAATTTATGAATGAATACTTATATTTTTACTATTTACTTAATTACTTACGTATGTAGTTCATTGATTAGTGTGTTGTTCAATTGTCCTTACTTGTTTAGGATTATTATTTAATTTATAGATTTTTAATTTTATATATTTTTAAATGGGTAAATATGTATTTGATTATAAATTCAATTGTGCGTTAAAATGTAACTATTTGGGCTAAGCTTATATTAAGTGATCTATTAATTTATTAGGCTTAAATGTGTTTAGTAGGTGCGGGCCTCCAATGTTCAGAAACCCGATAACTTATTAATTGGGTGATGAGGCCAATTAATAATAAGGGATATAAATAAGGTTGTGATCCTAGGTCTAGACGCAACAACCATTACGTTTCATATCTCATCGTGGGAGTAACGGCAGAAACCCTAGCGGTTTTCTCAGAAAGGGTTGCGTCATAGGCTTGAAAAACACAAATCCCTCCATCGAATTGCAGATCTGAATCCGACTATGCTGAGGAATAAGGTTAGATTTATTTCGCTTTATTTTCTTATCTCAATTATTACAACACTGTAGATCTTAGGCTTAAGGTTAAATTCCTGATAAATTCCAACAATTAGTATTAGAACCTTTTCGTGCTGAATTATTGAGATATTTTATTAGATCACTTGGCATTTAATCGGAACTAAATTTTGGGTCATCATTGTCGTAACTTTCGGGCCGCCATTGCATGTACATTTGTTTATTTGTAAAGGATATACATACCCATATCCGAGGAATCATGATTGGAACTAGTAAATTATTATTTGGTTGATTTCTCTTGGTTACTATGCGGATGCTGAGTAATCATGTGATTCCTCATTTATGCATACATTCTTCATATGATATTTATTGCTTTGGTGCTTTATGCTGGCTGTCAAGAATAAGTTAGGTTCAAGTTTATTACTGACGATTGATTATAAAACAGCATATTCATATCTTGATATTCGTGCATATGCATTCAAATGTAGTTGAACAATGACGTGTGATTTTCTTTTGTTCAAATATATGACTTTCTACTCGAATAGGTCATTAATTTTAAATGCATAAGTCGGTTGAAATTTAATATAATATTTCTATATGGATGCACTGTGTGCATCTCTATGGCTATCATGATAGGTCATTTGGTATTATTAATTGATATATTAGATATCTAAATCTATTATTTAATGTCTAATCAAGTAAACTTGCATTTTTAATTTTGGGTTATCGCATTGACTGATCGGCCGTTGTATTTATATTTGTGTTTACCGATGATATATGTATCTATATAAATGAAATATGGATTGGATGGAAGATGAAATTCAATTGAATGATTCGAATTCATATTGTAATTGCAATTAGGTATATAACGGCGGTGCCGTTAGTTTATTTATTCAAATTTTTATCGCTAATTTTTGTGATAATAGAATATTCATTGTGATTCATTGAATAATCCAATGAAATTTGGGATACAGTAGCATATATTTTCGACATTATTCATTTGTGCAAATTCAACTATAAATATTCATTATATTAAATTTATAGTCTCTTTGGGTGACATATTTTTGCCTATGTGATTCCGCTGCATTTAGTATTTTCTTGGACTACTTGATTATTTTAATAAGTCCATAAATTAATTGTTGTTGTTATAGTTTTAATATGTATTAGACATACATATATGATTTATTTAAGGTGAATTGAATTAGCAATAAATAATATCATATATTTTATGAATTTGTTGAAACAGTTATGTTGCCAAAGCAGCCTCTGTTGTGTAAATCGGTTTATTTTGTGTATTAGAAAGTTGTGTTTGTAACTTATAAGGCTCCTGATTGACCCAAAGGCAACTCAGTCATTAAGTAGTTACATACATGTTTAGTGATATTGAATGTGGTGATGATAATTTTGATTGTTTGTGTGTGGATAATAGATCTGTCCAAAGATGGAGTGTTGTTTGACACACTACTTTATTGTCTACATTTAATTGTCAAAATAAGTTTATCGCTGGCAAATCAGTAATTTGTGCAACAACATTTGCTGATGTTGCTTGATAACTTGTGATATAATTGCTACTTTATTTTATAAATTCACATATGAAACATTCAGTAGCTTATAGACATGTGCATTCAGTTGCTAATAAGCATTCTTTATTTTCTATGGAATCAGACCCGTATATATTGAACATGATTCTGATTATAATTTAGTTTAAGAAAATTATAAATTCATTAATAATGCATATTGCATTTTGATGGTGGAGATCAAGTATTTGACGTTGTCAAAGTAACCTCTTTTATATAAGATTTTTTTTTTGATAACGTAAGTGTTTATGTGTATTTCTAATTTGTGTTATTATTCTTCGGTCCAAAGGTAGTCGGTAATTGACAGAATGAAATATACATCTGCGATAGTATGTATGGGACGATTATATGGATTTAACTTATGTGAATAGTAAATCAGTCCAAAGATTGGTTGTTGTTTGACATTACTTATTGTTCGTATATGATTATTGCAACAAGATTACTGCTAGCAATCAATGTTATTGATCCAAAAGATTGATCATTGATGTTGCACTTAGTGTCTTGGGATGAGAATTGAGCTTCATTATGATTCATTTGGTTGTATGAATCATGACTTGGCATTAATAATAGACTAACTCACTCATACGGCGAAAAACACTGCTCATAAAGGACAGTTGTTTGAGAAATGGGATAGATCCAACGCCTAAGTCTAATTATCATTAAGAAAAACACTCCATGAATTTTAGGAGTACAATATATGATGATATGGATTCCTTGTCGTAATTAAGTTACGTTTTACCAAAAGCGATAAGGCGGAAAATGAGTATTCTTCTTAAAAGTCTAATTACCATAAAGTATAACGACAAACATAACATAAGGGAGTACATTATGAACATGTCTACTATTGCTACTAAATTTAGGGCACTTAAGTTAGACATTTCTGATGACATATTTTGGTGTATTTTGGTGTAACAACCTGGGGTGGATTTTGGTGTAACAACCTGGGGTGGATTTTGGTGTAACAACACACATCAGTATGTCTATGCAAGATTATTTTATTGTTGAAATCAATTAATGTTAAAAGATACATCTATATGGGTGACGACAAGAAAATTCAAGTTGAAGTCATTGACAATTTTAGATTATTATTAAGTACTCGTTACTATTTGAATTTGAATGAGACATTTTTTATTGTACCATCTTTAGTCAAAATTTAATTTTGATCTCTATTTTGAACAAATTCAGTTATTATTGTTCATTCGGATATAAAGTTTTGTCTCTTTCAGAATTCAAAATCGATTGGAACTAGTGCATCATTTGATAATAATAATCGCCATTTACTTAATAGTCTGACTTCATATCATGAATTAGTTATTGAACATATTCATATAGCTTTCACGATTACGGATCCGCTTAATTAGTAAAGGGTTTCCACATAAGTTCTATAGTGAGCATATTGCTCGTTTGAAAAGTGGAACCATATTTCGATACTTCGGTTTAGTGGGAGCTAATTAGTAGTGTTCAAATACTATTAAAGTTACTTTGGTTTACACTGCACAGTTCAGTATTCAATGTTCAATATTCAGTGTGCAGTATTCAGTTTTAATTCAGTATTCAGTTATTCTGAATTAAAGTTAAGGTGGATCAGTTGAAAATAGGCATGTTAAGATCACATTACATGAAATTTTCATGTTGTGCATCCGCACTTGATCGAATCTTAGGTTATATTAGTGTTGTGACCACTGATCGGTCCCATTGCGATAAATGCAGTGACGGCCGCTTTGATCCGCATTGACGTGACTTATAGATAAGATTGGTAATATACATTAAAGATCTGATAGCAAAACATTTATGAGCTCATAAGGTTATTTAGTGTACATTTACCCGAGTGAGAGATTGTTGAATTATAAATCCAATTGTGGGTTAAATGTAACTATTTGGGCTATCAGTCAAATTAAGTCTATATTAAGTGATCTATTAATTTATTGGGCTTAAATGTGTTTAGTAAGTGCGGGCCTCCAATGTACAGAAACCCGGTAACTTATTAATTGGGTGATGAGGCCAATTAATAATAAGGGATATAAATAGAGTTGTGATCCCCGGTCTAGATGCAACAACCATTACGTTTCATATCTCATCGTGGGAGTAACGGAAGAAACCCTAGCGGTTTTTTCGGGAGGGGTTGCGCCATAGGCTTGAAGAACACAAAATCCTCCATCTAATTGCATATTTGAATCCGACTATGCTGAGGAATAAGATTATATTTATTTCGTTTTATTTTCTTATCTCAATTATTATAACACGGTAGATCCTGGGCTTAAGGTTAAATTCCTGATAAATTCCAACAATATGTCCATTTTGGTTAGTTCGATTATATTTGAGGAAGTTTGAGTTTTTGTTAAGTCTTTTAATCTATTTAAAAATTATTAAATGGATAAATATGTCTTTTTTAGGTTTATTACGGAGGGGATGCGTTTGTCCTAATAATTTTACTATCCTCTATCCTATTCAATAAAAAAAAATTACATGTTGGTTCGTCTAGCTTGATTTGTCTGTCGGGCCTAGTTTGCAGGGTATTAGGTTCGGCCGAGATTTACCCAGTGTCCACTTTCGGATAGCGGCTGCGAGTTCCCACGTCATAATAAAAAAAAATTACACGTGGCAGAAATTAATTTATTTCTTTGTTAAATTTGTAAATAATTTCATATATTGCAATTTGCAAATTAGGTTCAGAGACAATGTGGATGCCGGCCAAGATAGGAAGATCGGACAAGACGATGATTTTGGAATGAACGGAGAAAATAAATTGTCTTTTTGATTTTTTTTTCTTTGAATGAACCAAGAAAGTAAACTGCAATGTATGAAATTATTTGCAAATTTAATAGATAACTAAATTAGTTCCCGCCACGTGTCAATTTTTTTTATTGGATAGGATAGAGATATGGTAAAATTGGTTTGACGGACTATCCCCTCCAGGTTTATTGGGTTCGAGCAAGTCCGGGTTCATATCGGGTCTTCTGACCTATTTTAATAAACGGGTGAATTTTAGGTTGAATAATTTGACCCGTTTAAAAATATTTGCATTTTCATTGTAATTTTAATATGTTTGTTTGTAATTTGATGAGAATATATAATTCTTTTGGATGGTTCATCTTGTTATTGTACTATTTATTATGACCGAATTGTTCAATTTTAGGGCTTTAAACTAATGAATTTATGGATTTTAATGCTACTTTATGCATTACATGTACTTTGAATAGATTAGCCATTTACGTGCATTCTTAGTTTGATATAAAATATTGTTATATTATGCGGTGATTGTGTTGTACTATAGGAAACAGGAAGTTGATATTTACAATTTTCATTTGAATGTATTTGAGTTATACACAGTTCATGTCCAGTCCAAAATACTAAACATCAATCAACATTGTATTTGACTAGAAGAAATGTTGACACCATATTTTTTAAAATGTTTGTATGAAAAATTTGTGTTCTTTCGCACATGGTGTACATAGGAATGCAAACCTAATGCTGTTGTGTTTCCTCTTCTATATGAATTTAATAAAATCAAATGTGTATTCCGAAAAAAGCTAAATCTATATGTCTATAAGCCTATTTCACACTTGTGAATAACTTTTATCCCTAAATGTATATTAATATGATACTTTAAACTCGACGACTATAAGTATTCTTGTTCATAACATATTTTACTCCTCATAATTTTTTATCATGGACAATGATGACGAAAAAATTAATATTTTACGATGAAAAGGCTTGTTTTGGCAGAAGATTGTGTCATCACAAGTGAAAGGTGTTTAAGGCAACTAAAATATTTACAAATTGAAGAGTAAAACATTCAATGGTTGCATGCCTCCTTACCTATTATCTCAGCATTTGAAGAGGAGAACGCACTGATTAGAATAACTTACATTTTGCGTGATCGTAAAGGAAGGCATGAAGAGCCGTGGCACGATTACTTGTCCGATACGCCTCAATTTCCAAAATCTTATTGTAGAATGAGGTTTCAGATGCGTCATGAACTATTCTTTAGAATTCTCAACGATATGTGCCATATGAAACAATATTTCACACAAGGTACTGATTGTACGAATAGGAGTGGTCTTTCACCTCTTCAAAAGGTGATCACAGCCATTCATGTTCTCACATATGGATGTTATTTTAAGTGTGTTGATGAGGTTATAAAAAGAGGGGCAACGCCTGCAATACAAGTAATTATGGAGTTTTGTGACACAATAATTTTTATTTACACGTTATTCAACTCCAAAAGAACTTACATGTTTATTAGATAAGAATAATGAACGTGGATTCTCGAGAATGATCGGTTTTTTGGATTCTATGCATTGGTATTAGGATGTGTGTCTTGTTGCATAAAAGGGTCAATACAATGGGCGTTATGGATATCCATATTTAATCTTAGAAGCTATCGTGTCTCGGGATTTTTTGATATAATATAATTTTTTTGGGATGCCCGGATAAATAATTATGTCACTATGTTGAATTATTCCCTATTATTCGGCAAATACATGGATGGAATTGCACCCCCTATAGAGTATGAGGTCAATGGGACGCGTTATAACTTGCTTTAATATTTGGTGGGTAGAACATATCCCAAATATGCTATTTTCATGCAAATTGTTAGAAATCTTGTGACTGCAAAAGAAAAAGCTTTTACAAAAGTGCAGGAGGCCTTCTATATAGATATCGAAAGAGCATTCGGGATTTGCAACAGAAATAAAACATCCTACAAATATTAGCGAGAATGAGTTAGGCAAGCAATTCATTACACATAATTATTATATGCATCATCCTGCACAATATGATTGTTTAAGATTAATGCGCCAAGACTTACCTGAGTGGACACCACCAACTAAAGAAGATCAAAGCCTTCCAAATCTTGTGCAATTTGAAGATGTTCACCTCTTGTACCGGGTAAGGCTAGGAAGATTCACAATACAATCACAAATAAAAATTTATAGGCCAATCTCATAAATCATCAATGGATATTGTATGAAGGAGAACATGTGTTGACGGGGATGATGCGGCACTTCTATTATTTCTATACACTAGGTTTTTTATTGAAGTTAAATTGTATTTTATTTTGTACTCGTATTCAATCACTATGTTCTATGTATTAAACATTTTATGTTGTGTGGAGATCAAGTGCAACTTCTCATGCAGTAGTAGTAGCTGCTACATCTAAGTTGTGTGCATGTATGCCTGAGTTGTGTGTATTATCATGCAGCAACAGCATACACAAATACAGACATGCATCACGTATGTATGTATGCCTGAGCTCTGTGTATTATCCGTGCTTTGGTTTCACTTTCATAATAGAACACGTGTTTGTTAATTTGCCTTTTTTTTTTTTAATGTGTTTTATGGCATGGCAAAATCTTTATTTTTTGGTTGTGTATGTTATGTAGGTGATAGTTGGATGAATAATTTTTTATATAATATTGAATTAAACATATTTTTACCTGAATTTACTATGCTACAAAGTTGATGACAATCTCTATGAAACATAATTCTACAACAATTTGCTATGATAAATAGAGTTTTGTGAACAAAGTTTTGACTTAGTATTATATGAAACAATTTGCTACTATCAAGATGAATACTCATTACAACAACCTGCCCAAAAATCTTGCAAAAAGCACAAATTTAAAACTTTGTACATTGTATAATATATATATATATATATATATACATATATATACATCTTGCTATAAATGCTAATTTGCAATATCAAATATGTTAATGTAAAAAATATAAAATATGTTAAATAAATTTTTTGAATAAAATAAATAAATATCTTATCTATTATTTATTTTTATAGTATTTGTAAAAATTAGATAAAAAATTATCTCAAAAAAATATTATTGATTTTATTAAAAAATTTATTTAACATATTATATTTTTCATTTGTATAAAATTTGCTTAATATAAATATTTATTTAGCATCAAATATTATTTTTGGATAAGAAGAATGTTTTGTTCAAATTTTTTACATTAACACAAATAAATTTTGTGCTAAAAGTCAGTATATTTATATTGGAATTACAATGTTTTTTTATTTGAAAAATAAAAAACACCTCTCGTATCTTTTTTGAGCGGATTTTATCTTTATTTTTCGTTGGTAAAAATAGTCAAAAATAATAATAATAATAATAAAATAAAATTGTACTTTTGTATTAATGTATCATTATAAAAATATATAAATTAGACTTCACTCAACAATATATATTATGGCATAATTTTTATTAAAAGTATAACTTTTTTTTAATATTATTTTTATATTTGCAATTCATTCAATTATTTTACACTTAAAAAATAATAATAATAATAATATGTTCGCTTAACATTTATTAAAAAATACAAATGTACAACCATAAAAAAATCAATTCAGGAACAAACTGTAATTTTATTTTTAAAAGAGTATAAATCATTTTTTGTTCATTCAGTATCAAAATTATTAATTTTGGTCCCATTAAAAAAAATATCAATTTTAGTTCTATTCAAATAAAAAGTTATTAATTTTAGTCCAAAATAGTTGACTGAGACTGAACACAGCTGTGTTGGCCGCCTGAAACACCCGGTCACCTTCTGACTCATCCAACCGTATTGTTCAATCCAGTCAATCAGACTAAAGTTGATAAGTTTTTATTTGAATAGACTAAAATTGATAATTTTTTTTAATAAGACTAAAATCGATAATTTTGATATTGAATTGAACCAAAATATTTTTACTCTTTTTAAAATTTTAGATAAACAAATGCATATGTTAACCTAAACCCTATATTCCCAAATCCAGAATCCAACCATCTTTTCAATCTCCTGCCTTTCTCTGTTTTCAATGGTCTCATCTCCAGCTTCATTGTCGTCCTCTCGAGGTCTTTTTCTTCTTCTATGCTTCGTCGGAGCAATTGTAAGTTCAATTATTGCATTCATTTTCGCTTCTTCGGCTCTGAGCTTCTTCTTTTTCTACAGCTTCGTTGAATATATTTGTTTTGTTTTTAAGGATTAATCTCGGTTCGGATCAGTAGCGCCGCCGCACCTCACATTTCCAGAGACATCGGTATTTCGATCACTTTGTATTAAAATATTTGTGAATGCTGCATTTGTTTTTGTTGAGTTGATTCGCTCACTAAGATTGCTGGCTTTGAGATTGGTGAGGTCTGAATGCTCTTGGTTTTGACAATCGTATTTGTGGTTATTGTTTTCTATGGCGCGGATTGCTTGTTACTTTACCTTATATAGAGTCGTCTATAGGGGTGAAAACACGGTGAAATTAGTATGAATGTTTTGTTATTATCATTTGTTTCTGGTAACCTACCAATTTCTTCGTTTATCTTTGGGTCATTTTCCTAAGCGCGCTGTTTCTTTTCTTTGTTGAATATATTTGTTGATTAAGATATCAAATATTTGTTCGTCTGGGTTTTGTTCACTGCAAATTTGCAATAATCAGTGTCCACCCGTATAGGGTTCACTGCTCTTGCTATAAAATGTGTCATTTTCAAATTGATGAACTCGCAATTTCTGTTCTCTCAGAAATCTTTTCTATGCATGGCGCTCACACCACTCCATTCCATAACTACATCGACACTCTTCCCACCAAATATTTCCACTCCGAAACCATTAAGATCTTGTGCTTTGATCACCAAGGCAAGAACCAGCAACAAGCTCCGGAATGATAGATATTTGCATATGCCAATAAAGACTATTTTCAAAGGTTTTCCTGTCAAATCTTGCGAATTTACGATAAAGGCACAACATTTAAGTGGCTTCACTCATGGGGGAGAGAAAGAAAAAGAAGAAGAAGAAGCGCCCGAAGTTGAGAAGGCACGACTGCAAAGCAGTATGCCTGAAAGATTCAGGCATTTGAACAAAGAAGTTCCTGAAGAACCTGTTAGGTGGCCTTGGCTCATCGGTATGCTCAAAATTTTCTTCTTTTCTTTCCCTTTGCGAACACTTCCCTCATACTATATTTGCCCCTTAAACATGCTCATTCATATATATGATGTAACTATGCTTTGTCTTCCTATTTGCTTGATTTTGAGCAAAATACTTATGCAGTGGATGCAGTTCTCTGTAGTATGATATTTGATTTTATGTATAATCAGTTGTTGGCTCTTGGATAAATAATTATGCTTTCAGTTTGTTAGTTACACTTAGGGTGTGTTTGTTTGGAGGATTGGGAAGGATTTACGCTATTCATACAAATTTTTTCCCCAAAAAACACCAAATCAAACACTTTTTTTTTTTCATTTTTTATATTATACTAAAAATTAATTTTACATTCAAAACACCACATCACTACTTATTTATATCACATCATATTACTATTCCAATTCAAATTTTTTACTATTTAAATCTCAACTCAAAATCCAAACCCCTAAACAAACACACCCTTAGGGACTCATCCTGTCGGTTAGTTATTATGCTTGCTCTATCATGCTAGATTAAATATTAGAAATAGTAACCTCTAAATTGTGGATATTTGGGCATTCATCCTATAATGGCTCCTCCGCTTGGGATTATCTATAGCAATGTTTGAGACTGATCCTCTGTTCTCCTATCACCCAGAGAACAAAAGAAGTGTTGGTATTTTAGAATGTAGCCTTACTGAAATCGTTAAACTGCATTTGTGGAGTTTCCTCTTTTCCCTTCAGTAATATGTCAAGCAAGCAGCATTTTCTCTTTATATTTTAGTTTATAGATCTTTCTTTCTCTTTTTATTCTTTATTGCCTGGAGATAACGGAAGCCCTTGCGAATTTCTCATGTTTGTTGCCTTGTTGGCTCATGGAACTATGTTTTGAACAGTCATAAACTTGTTCTGAGTTTTGGGATTCGCGCTTATAGATTGCTTCGGGTTTTCATTTGTTGGTTGACAAATTTATAGTAAGGTTGCATTTAATTTATTCGGATGAATTATAATTCTCTGCAGTGCTGGGATTCATGCTCTATGCTTGGAGAAGTGTTTTGTGGGAACTTTCTAACTGGGGAAAGGCTGCTGGGGCCATTGGTCATTTCTTAAAATACATCTTAAAATTTGCATTGGCCCTTGTTTTCGGTGTTGTTGGAGATCCCATCACTTATTTAATAAGAGGAGTCGAGACACTGTTGTACACAATCAGGGCTTGCTACTCTGGTGTAATTGCATATGCTCCAATTCCCGAGCTGACGCTGATCATCATACTTGCCTCTGCCATACTTGCGGTCGGTGAGGCTGCTGTTCCGGATGCTGTAAGCTCCCAGCCGCATCTGCTCACATTGGCTGGCATAATCGGGTATTCCGCTGTTGCAAATTACATCTCTGAGCTATTCTTCTGGATTCTACTCGCGGGTTTGTTTGGGTATGCAAAGGTAGTCAAGAAAAAAGACAATGTATCTTCAGCATTGCCAGTTGCAGCTGTTTTAGCAGCTGTGGGAGAGCCTTGGGTGAGAGTAATTGTGATAGCATCCTATACAACCTTGGCAATCTTTCATCACTTTTCTAATTCTGCTCGGGATTTAGAAGAAGAAGATAAAGATGGGAGAGGCGTGCGCAGAATTCCAGTACCTCTGCTGTGTGCTGCATTGGCAATCGGCACCCGAATTGCTGCCAAATGGGCTGGCTACCGGCATCTGACATGGATGATTGTTTAGCTGGTTCGAGGAATTAGTTGGTTTTCTTTTGTGGTCTGTGATCTTTTTGAGGCGGCCATGTTTTTGTGGATAATTACATCTCAAGTCCATTTCTACCTGTCATCTGTTGCTGGAAATGGTTTGAAAGAGAGCCTGCAGGTATTTACTGTTCCCATTGCTATCTATGCTGTTTTTTACCCTTTACTTTAGGGAGACACAATTAAAAATTACTTGCCTGCATTGCAATTGCGTGGTAAGAACTTTGATCAAGTGAAGGATAGACGGGTTGCGTACAATGCATGCAATTATAAGCTGATTTCTTTAAATATTATCGATTAAGAGTTTCCAAAAAACATATTTGTCCTATTTTGTTGGTCCATTATTATTATTTTTATTTTCGTCTGTCCTATCTTATTTGTTTCTTTTTTTTTAATATATTTTTTTATTATTTATTAATTATTATATTTAAGTTAAATTTCCTTATCTATAGGAAAATGGACGGAAAGGATGAAACTGAGAGTATTATTTATATTAATATTTTAAATGTAGCACAATATTCTTGTAGAGCATTTAACAATCAAAAATTTAAAAGGCATGGGTTATACTTAAAACCTGAATTACTTGGACTCTTTAAAAATTTATGCTATTTGAACTTTTGATAGGTGCTTTGGAGCTTTAATAAATGCTCTTTTAAGTTTTGAACAATCATATCTCCTTAAATTAAGTGACCACTTATTATTATTATTATTATTATTATTATTATTGTTGTTGTTGTTGTAATTATAGGTTCCATCTATAATGTATATATACTATTATTATTATTATCAAGATTATTAAATTAAATATTTATTATTGTTCCAAGTATAAAATATTTATCTTACTGTCCACGACAACTTTAAACTTAAAAAAAAAAAAAAAAAAAAAAAAAAAAAAAGATTTTTTTCTCACAAAAAAATCTTAGGTTTTTAATTTTCATCTTTGCGTTTTTTTAAAAAAATGTATTTTCTTTTTCCACAAAATATTCTATTAGTACATTATTTTAAAATTAAACTCAAATCAAAATTTTTTCAAGTTCGTAAAAACTAAAAAACAAAAGGACACTCATTCCAGGACTATTTGTTGGCCAATCGAATGTATTTATTTAATTTATTGAAACCATTTAGGGTGTGTTTGTTTGGGGTTTGGATTTTGAGTTGGGATTTGAATAGTAAAAATTTTGAATTTGAATAGTTGTATGATGTGATATAAATAGGGTTTGATGTGATGTTTTGAATGTAAAATTGATTTTTAGTATAATATAAAAAATGAAAAATATGTGTTTGATTTGATGTTTTTGGGGGAAAAAAATTGGATGAATAGTGGAAATCCACCAAAATCCTTCAAACAAACACACCCTTAAAGTTGAATAAGAAATTAGGATAAAGAGTTGATTAAGTGGGTCAATAAATTCAAGTGAATTTAAATTAATTAGAGAATTGGACTAATTAATCTGAAAGTTTGAACTAAATTTGATGGAGGTTAATAACAAAATTTAAAGTTTGAACTATAGAGGTTAATAACCTAACTAAGGAAAATAAAATGCAAGAAAAAAAGATTAAAAATATATATATATATATTGTGAATTATTTTTTATTCAAGAATAATGAATGAAATCGATATTGTTACAGCATTGTCTAGACAATGTATTAGAATTCTTATAGTACAAAATTTAATTGTCTTAATTCTCAAAGAATTGCCTTCAATTTTTCTTTTGGCTAGCAACAATGGGACACAAAAGTGACCTTAAATGGCAAGCAGAACCGTGTTTAATATTTTGATTTGAAATATTATTTTTTATATAAAATATAAAGAATTATATAATAAAAATAATAAATAATATTTTATATTGATTATTGACTTTTATAAAAATAAAAAATATTAAAAGAACAAAGTTCAAGATTCCAGACCTTAAATATATTTTGACTTTTCATACACTTTCATAGATCTGCTCATAAAATCTTAGACCACATAATTTTCTATATTTTACTTTTGTTTACTTTGCCAACCTCTTATTCATCTATAGAATGGAGCATCAAATCCTCTATTTTCAATTTTCTTTATTTTCCTCTGTTCCTATTAATAAAACAGTGTCAAGTAGAAGATAGAAAATATGAATAAAATTTTAACATATATATTCATTTTTTAAAATATATCTTTATTACTTATCAATCTATTTTTTTTTAAATAAATAAAAAGAAAAATCATATCCAAACTTAAGTTATTATATTTTTTATTCTATTACTCTAAAATAAAAAATATATTGAATGTTTTTTATTTGTATTCTCATTGTCGTTGTTTCCACATGTACTCCTTTCATTTTGCTTTTATTATTATTATTATTATTGATTTTTCCCCCCTAAATTTTAAGTGGAAATCGATCCTTGTCGTCACCGACCAACTTCTAGTATGTTGTTGTTTATTTATTATTATTATTATTATTATTATTATTATTATTATTATTAAGTTTTTGTTTTGTTTATTATTTATTTTTCCGATTTTCTCTAAAACCAGCTCAGGATTCTATCCCAATGTTGATTTTGTCATGGAATTTTTTTTGAAAAAGACATAATAAACAGAACAGAAGTCTACTTATAAAATATGAAATATACCAGAAGCTTCCTAATGTTGATTTTGTCATGGGATGTTTTGAAAAAAATAAAATAAGCAGAACAAAAGCCTACTCATAAAATAAGCAACATACCAGAAGCTGGCCATAGACAACGAAGGCTGCTGATTTTTGCTAAAAATTTAGGACAAAATTAAAAAAATAAAATAAGAAAAGACAAACAAAGAGAAGTACATGTGGAGACTGTTGGAAAATAGTTTTGTGGACATATGAGATATGGCTAAAATAGAAAATACAAAGGGCGTGTTTGGCAATTAGCTGGTAGTTGTTAGCTGTTAGCTGATTCAATTAGCTGGTAGCTGTTAGTTGTTAGCTGATTCAATTAGTTGGTTTGACTAGTTGATTCGATTAGGTGTTTGTATTAAAATGTTTGGTAAAACAACTGTTTGATATTAGTTGTTTATACGTAAAATGACAATTGAGGACATTTCTATTTTATTCTTATTTCTAATATATTCAATTATGTTTTTTTGAGTTTAGAATGTTTAAAATTTTTTGTTATTAGTTATTGAAAATTGTAAAAGTATTATAATTTTATTACCGTTAGATTTAAAAAATAATATATTTTTAATAAAATATATAAATAGTTTTTTTATTGAAAATGATGTAAAATATAAAATAATAATTTTTTCGTATATATATTTATTATGTTAGTTATCGATTAGTTCATTATATTTATAATTTTCAATAAATTTAATTTATTTTTAGTATAAAATTTATATAATGTAATTTTAATAAAAAAATAAATTATTAATATTTATATTTTTTATTTTATGTTGATTTTAATAAATTTATATATTTTACAATTAAAATAATTTTTATATAAAAATTAATTATTTTAAATTTATAAAAGTAAAACTATAATATAATAAAATATTCTAATATAATTAATAAATAATCAAAATATATTTATTTGTGTAAAATGTATAATAAATTTATAAAAGTAAAACTATTTCAAAACGCTGCGTAAGTTAGCTTTTCAAAAATTAGCTTTTTGGGTCCAAAAAGCTATTCCAAAAAGTTAATTTACCAAACATCTAAATTAGTTTTTTGACTGCTCAAATAACTTCAATAAGCTAAAAGCTCTTAAAAAAGCTATTTGCCAAACACCCCAAAAATCAAATAAATGCGAAATTAAATCCAAGCTTCGCGTAGCACGGGATTTCCTTGAAGCCAATTCGTCCCTCCACCAATCGCATCCCAAAATAGAACGAATTATCAACGGAATATTAGATTCCGCAAACTAAATTAGAATGGAAGAGAAATTTTCAAAATGAATTTTTTTTTAATTGATATTACGTCTTTCATTCAGAAAAAAGAGAGAAAAATTAATTTTTCAATTAATTTTGTATTTAATCATATATAGAGAAAAAATTGTCTACGTAAATAAATTAATCAAATAAAATATGAACACATAAATTATTCATTTTCACCTATTTAATTAAATACCCAACTGAAACAACGACAAGGACGAGGAAGACTGGAAAGGATGACAAGGACAAGGAGGTGGAAGGTTGGAGACTGACGAAGCACATGTGGTGAATATTTGTTTGAACAATGAAATGAATCAGGCTAGATTCGAATGAATTTCAATACAGAGATCAAATTGTAAATATTTAAGGTAGTTTTGGTCAGAAACTGGTAATCAAGTATCATACTTAGAATGGTCTTTTTTTTTTTTTTTTTTTTTTTTTTTTTTTTTTTTTTTTTTTTTTTGTCTATGAAATTTAATTTGAATATTAAAATAATCTTTCTTGATATGTTTTTTTTTCTAGGTGGAATGCTGATAACAACAAAAAAATTTCAATCATTTTGTCCAAAAGTAAATACAGTTATTGAAGTTTAAGTTTTGTTATTAAATTCCTTTTAGAATTAAAATTATTATTTATTTATAATAATAATGACCAAACCATTTTTTTTGTTATTTTTTTAATTAAATTTGATTCATTTTTATATTAAAATGAATAATTTAATGTAATCTTTTTTTATATATATTAATGAATATTTATTGTAATATGTAAATGACAAATTCGACATTTATAGACTAATAAAACATTTAATTAAATTCACTTCCTCAGTATGTATGTAAAAACAATCATATCTTTATATATATATATATATATAATGATATGACCATAAAATATAAGTATTTTTGTATTTACATGAGATAAAATTTTACTAAAAAAAATTAAAAAAAAATTGAGTGAAGAGACTAAAATAGAAAAGTGAAAATTTTGAATAGAAAAAATATACATAATTTTTTTGGATCTGAAGAAAAAACTATATTTTTAATTAAAGTTGTTTTTGTTATAATACATTCAAGGGATTCTACTTTCAAAACTTCTGACTCTACTCTATTTAGCTTTTTCTTTTTTCTTAAAAGATCAAAAAAACCCAATCCCAACCAACCCCTACAAATTCTAACTAGCTGGTGAACAAACAAATTTGTGGTATGTTGTTGGAAAAAAAAGATCGTTTTTCTTTCACCTTTTTTTTTTACTATATTAATATTACAACAATGTACATTTAGCAAACAAACATCACTTACAAAAACTGCATCCTTTCAAGTTCTATCCCTGTGTGGAACACTGCTTCCTTTTAAAATCTTCAGACAACAGAGTCTTCATAAGCTCCTGCAGCCTCTCAGCACCAGGTCCAGGCCTCAGCACCGAGTCGTCTCCGCGCAACGCGCAAGGGTCGGCATCATTTTCCGAGCTCCCAATGCACCATGCCCCGGGAGCAAATCGATTCGTCCGCCCAAGTAACTCTTTATCAATCTTGTCCAGGACCGGATCATCTCTGTGAAACTTGCGAGCAAATGGAGCACTGCTGTTCACCATTTTGCTGAAGTCCTTGGCTGTCAACGATCTCGGGTGCTGCTTCGGGGGGCTGTCCCAGGCGATGTAGTGAAGATCGTGACTTACAGCGGTGTGCCGAAACTCCTCAGTGTTGCAAATCACTGTGTGGAAATACCCTTCCGGCGATGAGATGAAGTTTGCATAATACATGAGGATTGTCCGGGGAAGATTACTCCACCCCCATATGCAATACTCCACAAATGACCGGGTTAGAATTACCCATGCCGAGCCTGTTGGAACACGTGGCTGTAAAAATCCGACAAAATGGATATGGGGATAATATACAAAATATGAACACATGATAAAGCATTGCCGCCTTCCTATATAAATTAGCTGCCAGCCCGCACAAACTCACCCACCTAATAGATAAATAAATACCACAGATATCCCATAAACACGCAGGAAAAAGCATTCTAGTTGGAATTATAAACTCACCAGTGAACACCTTAAAAGATGTTGGTAAAGATCGTCGTTGAGTAGTCAATGAAATTTCAGTCTTTTTTGACAAATAGAGGCCTGGATCAATTATTATAGGCTTTGCTCTCTGGTTCCTGAAAATTGATCATAAACCTCATTGAGAACAAATTCTTCATATTTTATTTACAACAATTAAATTATAACCCTCGGATTGACTATAGATACATACAGTTTCCATCCAAATATCTGTGTATGCTCGATGAAGTTGAGATTTCTGGACACATTTGATAAAACATATAGTAGATCTGCACAAGCAAAAGATTTGGATTCATAATCTAAGATGAAAATATTGAAACAATGTCAAAACATTAGCACCTAATAACCTCAAGATAATAAAATTAAGGCTGCAAATACTGTGCTGATCCTGCCAAGACAGCATGGAGCTGATTTGACCAGGTCACTGTATGCCATATTGGTGTGCAACATATGTTTATATATATATATATATCAATATGTTACGTTATAATAGAGCATATGCTAAGTTATAATATAATATATGTTGTATTATAAATATGATGAAATATGCATTAATATATACTATTCACACCCCTATAACATATGCTAATCCGATCTGCATCATGCCGACTTGACCGAATCAACAGTTGATCCATGCCCTAAAATTAAAATAAAATCCTTGCTGGTAAAATGGCACTACAGTAGTATTCACCACAACAACAATTTGTTATTTATATGAATAATTTTAAATATATAAGTAAACCATACCGATGTCACATGAAGAGCTAGGAAAAGTTCAATTTCAGAACACAATGATTTTGCTCTGTAGAAAGTTAATCATATACAAAGGTTGTTGGCATAAGAAATTTCATGAAATTTTTCGAGAGTATACAGTCATATATACCTCAATGTCTTACATTAATTTTACTAGCATCACACTGTAGCACAAGAGAGTGATGTGAAAATACAGATTACAAATAAATTCCTTACCAAGACTCCTTAAGAACACTTCATAGTTCGAAAAACATGAAGAACAAACACACACACACACAAATATATATATATATATTTCGCAAGCACTCATAACAAAGATATCAACAAATATAAAGAACACTATTGCAAAATATGAGAATATTGATCGTTTAGTTGCTCCAACCGTATAAAAAGTATAGAACTAACCATCCTGAGTCACAAGAGGATAATCCGAGGCACTTAGATTAATAAACCAGTCCCAGCTGAAGCTTTCCTTCAACAAAATTGCTATTGCTTGCAGCGTACAAGCAATCATCGTCGGACCTTTATACGTCACCAAATTGGATTGAGACATTACGCGCACATTCTCCAGCTCACTAAACATTGGATCATTCTTCACAGACATTGTCAAATTTAATCTCTCCCTCGGAGGAGCCTCAAGGTCCATGTGAAGGATGTACTGATTCCTTGGATGATAAATTGCCTGCAATGTCCTCATCATCCTCTGGCTATCACCTTTCGTTCCAGAAATTAGATAAGCAAGCCTCGGCGGCTCCATTGCTGATGTCGCAAAGGATTCGATCGAATTGCTTAAATCAGATTCTACGAAATACTCATCTGAGTCCACTGAACCCACAAAGGACATAGCATCAAGTTGCAACTGATCTTGCGCATATGGAGACAAGTATGATCCATAGAGGCAAGCAGTGAATAAAGTAATCAGCACCAATAAACTCACGAAGAACGGAACTTTCCATCTTTTGTCGTGAAATGTCCTTACAGCAAGCCAGCTGCCATTTTTCCTTAGACTCATCCTTGTTTGATGGAGGGCTCAAACTGCACCAGAACAACTAACCTAAAAATAGTTCGAAAGAGCTTTTTCTCTGTGACTATTCAAAGTTGTCTTTCCCCCATGTGAAATGGGTTGCAGGATCTCAATTAGAGCAGCTTCAGAATCTAACTTCCTTCGACATAAGAAAACCTTTGTATCTAAAGGGTTACATAAAGGTTTCTTAACACACTAACCAATGGAAGCCCAAAGAATACAAAAACTGAAAAGAAGCACCGAATGACTCAATCCGAACATCTAAATCACCAAAACTACAAATATGACAAATGGATTAATTGATTCCCCCAAGATTGACAATATGAACAGCTCCAAAATAAAATAGCATATTAAATTGCTTCGTTATTGCATCAAGCAAGAACCTGTCCTATTTGAATATCCAATAAATAAATAAATCATTCCGCAGTCCTGATGATGTGTTTCGAAGATTCAGATTTCCCCGCAAATGTTTGAGATCCTCACAATTGCTCCTCTATGAGACCAACTGAAGAGAAGGTTCTAAGCAGACAAATTTGATTGTAAAAAAAGAAGTGCGAGAAAGCCGGTTGAAGAAAGAAAAGGATGAACTAACAGGCGAACTAGCCTTCTGCCGGGGAAGATGATGCGATTTGTCGGGAAGCTGAAGAGGGTGTGGGAGGTGACCCGGTGCTCCAGATCCGGCTGCAGAAGGCGGATCGACCTGATGAGTTCCGGGGTAGATGCGGCGACGAGCTCTGCTTCGAGCACAGGAACTCAGATCGGCACGACTGAGCTACGGTTGCGAGACGGCCGACTGGTAAGCATCGCCGGAGGAAATCCGGTGATCAGAACCGCGAAAGTCCTCAAGATTTAAATGAAATGGATTGAAAAAGATTCGATTCGGGGCTTAGGGTTTGTTGGTGGCGGTGATGCGCCTTTGGGATTGACCTTTTTCACGTTTGTAAATTCCGGGTGTGTTTGACAAAAATTCTATTATTCATTCAAAATTTTTCTTTCAAAAATATAAAATCAAATATTTATTTTTTATTTTTTATATAATATTAAAAATTAATTTTACATTCAAAATATCACATCAACATCTATATCTATTTATATAGAATCCTACAACTATTCAAATTCAAAATTTTATTATTTAAATCTCGATTCAAAATTCTAACCCAACGAAACAACCATAAGTAGATGACTTTTTTCTGGGACTTATTTAGATAATGCTGGCATTAATAGTAACTTATTATATTATTTTATTAAATTTATATTTTAAAAATATAAATTAATATAATTAATAAATTAAAATATATATTTAAATATTTTTAGTATTTCATTCTTCCGATTACAAAGTATAAGTATTTCTATTTTGAATATCCAATTACAAAATACACATTTCATTAAATACTTTATTTTTTTTATAAATAATCTTACTTTACAATACATCGTAACTTTTGCACAAAAATAAGTAAGGACAAAAATATTATTACATTATTTTTATTTGTCTACTATAATTAAAAATATTACTTATTTTTTAAAAAAACGTACCAAAAATAAATATTTACTGGATGGAGGGAGTATTATATTTAAATAAAAAATACAAATAATATTAATATTATTTTATAAATAATAATATTTTATATAATACAAATAAATAAAAAAATATACTCCCTCCGTTCCATAATTAGGTGTCTGTTTGCTTTTTGTAACTAGTTTTAGTATATATTGAGAAAGTAGTATGAATAAAGTAGAAATAACTAAAATAACCTTATTAGTATAATGTGATATAAAGGTAATTGTATTTATGTAATATACGTGTATTTGTAATGTTAGGTAGATAATATGGATATTTTGTTATGTGACGGACTAAAGTGAAAAAATTGATACTTTATTATGGGACGTAGAGAGTATAATTCCTTCCAAAATTAAACTTTTTCATTAGTGATACGTTATTTAAAATAATAATGTTTAATTAATTAATAATAGTAAATCATAATTTTATTTTATTATTTTTTATATAATTAATAGAGCAAAAATTATTTGTAATCCCATTCAAATTCAAAATTTTCATTTATGTCATATTCAAAAAAATTTATCAAAACTAGTCTCATATAAAATTTTTTTTTATCATTTTTAGTCTCATCGTTGAAATTTTAACAGATCGTACTGACGTGACAGTTATAAATACTAATCTGACAGTTGAGTCGGATCGAACATAATCGTGTTACATAAAACACAGCCGTGTTTAAACTTACATGCATCCATACCGTATTCAACACAAGCGTGTTGAAAAACCACACGCCCGTGTTTAAAGAACACAATTGTTCATGTTTTCATAAAAAGAAATAATAATAATAATAAAATGATTTTTTATTTTCTTAACCTAACAACTACAGTGTACAATCCCACACTGCAGAATATGGTTGGAATCCAGCTCATCGTCATTGATGTTGACTTCACACCTGCCAGCTTCATATTTGTATCGATGTTACCCACACTGTCACTGCACTCATTCACTCTACCTTCTTCAAATGGAGTACAAAAGGCTCGGAAAAATAAAATCCTTCGTCGATACATGGAACCTCACCTCCGACGAAACTACTTCAAGCTCAAATTCATTTTGCTCATCGTTACCACGCACCTCGTCGCCTCCGCCATTTCTGCCGCTCTCATTTTTCCGCACGAAATCGAGTGGATGATTCCGCCGCCGGCGGAAGTTTGCATGCTCACCTCATTCACAGCAATTTCCCAAGCCTACCGCAGGACGAGGTAACAGAGTCTCTGCTTTAACTCGCTCTTGAGCTTTCACGACACCGTTGCCGCCTTCGATAAGGAACTCGTCCACATTTCCATCAACATGACTCTGTAGAAAATCGGCCAGGCACTGTACTCTGTCTCCCAGATTTCATTTCGAATCTAAATATGGATCACAACGTCAATTCTATAAACATAAACAATTGTGTTCTTTAAACATGGGCGTGTGGTTTGTCAACACGCCCGTGTTGAATTCAGTAAGTATGCATGTAAGTTTAAACACTTTTATTAGGAGTGTCAATTCGTATTTTTGGGTCGTGTTCGTGTCAGGTTGAACCATAGGGATAACAAAAAAATTGTCAATCCGAACTTGACCCGAACCCGAAATCTGACCTGAAATCCTAGACCCGAACATGACACGAATTCTTTCAGGTCGGATTCAGGTTGACCTGAATTAGTTTTAGGTCACCCGAAATCCGAACAAACCCAATATGAACCCGACACGAAACAAACCCGAAAACTTTTTAAAAAAAATTAAATTGACCTAAAAAATTCATTTTTATTTTTATTTTTATATTTTTTTATATTTAAAATAATATAAACATTATAAATTTAAAAAAATAATAATAAAAATAAAAATTTCAGGTTAACCCGAAACACGAAACCCAAAACCTAAACTGATTTTTATATTTCAGGTTATCAGGTCAACCCGAAACATGACCCGAACACGACACGAATTTTTTTCGTTTCGGGTTCGGGTCGACCCGATTTTTTTCAAACCCGAACTTGAAAAATTTCAGGTCAAACGGGTTCGATTTTTCGGGTCGGGTTTATTTTGACACCCCTATATTTTATGTAACACGACCATGTTCGGTCCGATTCAGCTGCCAGATCAGTATTTATAACTGTCGTGTCAGCACGGTCCGTTAAAATTTCAACGGTGAGACTAAAAAAGATAATTTTTTTTTTGTTTGGGACTAGTTTTAATAAAAAATTTTGAATTGGACCAAAAATGAAAAATTTGAATTTGAATGTGACTACAAATGATTTTTGCTCTAATTAATAATATTGATAATTTTAAAATAAATTTAATATATATGATTGAAAAATTAAAATATGTATTTGAATATTTTAAAATTTATATCGCAATAAATAAATATATGCAATATGAATATCATTTTGTAGATAATAAAATTTCATATAATACAAGTAAATAAAAAGCTGCGTTTATTTATTTATAATTAACATAAACTAATTTTATAAAAGATGAGGAGTTTTAAATATAAATAAAAATATTTATTTTTTGAGAATAGATAGAAATAAAAGAGTTTTGAGTGGGTTCTACGTGATGGTGTATGATGTTTTATGTTATCTAGTTAATTAAGTTGATTTATATTTGTTAAATATGTTTTGATTTAATAAATAGAAATGTATTAATTTTTATGGGAGAAACAAAAATAGAAAAGTGTCAATTAAGATATCGCCGAAAGAATATTTATTTATAATTAACTCAAATTAGTTTTATAAAAAATAAAGAGTTTTAAATGTAGATAAAATTATGTATTTATTGAGGGAAGAAATAAAAGTAAATGATTTTTAGTGTATTCTACGTATAAAATATTATAAATTTAATTAAATTGATTTACATTTTTCAAGTATATTTAATATGAATAAATTTACTAAAAATAAAATCGAATAATTTGTTCTGAGATGGACTGAAAAGAAAATTAAATTACCTGCCATGGAAAAGATGTAGTAGATTGTTATTTTCTTTGTAATTGTAATAAATTATGATTCCTCGTTGTTGAATTTTTGTGGGGAGTTTATTTGACAGTTTATATATGTATACTAGTGTCCGTGCGCGCTGCGCGGGCTTGTTATTTTGTATTATAAGAAATTTGAAATGGCATGTGATGGATAGTGTTATTTGTTGTTAGGCTTGAGTATTATTTTTTCAATTGGCCGAATGTTAAAGTGAATAAGTAGAGCGTTGGTAGAGCGTACAATTGAAGAATTTTTTGCTATGATGTTTGAGGGCATGACAAATACTCTATGTTAAATGTATTATATAAAATTGACAATACTATAATTAAAAAGTATGTGTGATACCTCTGAAGTTGGGCCGTTGCTTGGCCAACTCCCTATGTGGATGAGCCGGTATTAGGCTATCCAAAGTTGATTAAATGTAAAATGGATTGAATAGACTACTCATGTCAACAATGTGGATATTCTTTTTCGAAAGTCCTACTGAAAGAACTCTAGAGTTAAACGTACTAACCCTAAAGTAATTTGAGGATGGGTGACCGCTTGTGAAGTTTCTCACAGGGTGTGCGTGAGTGGGGACAAAAGCGCGTTAGAAGGATTTGTGTTGACCTGTGAGGTCAGTCTACGATCCCGATATGTCTGGCTTGCGGGTCGGGGTGTCACAGTTGGTATCAGAGCCGACCTGCGATAGCCACAGTCGTTGACCTGACTGTTGAGGGGCCTAGCAGTTGATGATCCTTAGAGTGCAACGTGGATGTTGCATTCTAAAGTAAGGAGGATGTGATACCTCTGGCGTTGGGTCGTTGCTTGGCCAACTCCCGTGTGTGGATGTGCCTGTATTAGGGCATTCAAAGTTGATTAGAGGTTAAATAGATTGAATAGACTACTCATGTCAACAATGTAAACATTCATTTTCGAAAGCCTTTCCTTGGAAAGTCTCCAGGATACGCGTGAGTGAGGACAAAAGCGCGCTAGAAGGACTCGTGTTGATCTGTGAGGTTAATCTACGATTCCGAAATGACTGGCTTGCGGGCCGGGGTGTCATAGTATATTTTTCCATAATGTATATCTTGCATAGGTCAGAAATGTGTGATATTGCATAAATTATGAGGTGGTAATGAGCGTGGGCAGAGGAAAATGGAATTAGTTGAGTTGATCGATATAGTATCTGTTGTAAAGAGTTTTTTTGTATATGTACTATGGTTGATTTGCCCATTCTCAAAAAGACTATTGGAAAACGTTTCATGACTGCTTGGAAAACCTATGACTGAGGTAACAATGTATGTAGATGATGCATGCATTGTTTTAAATGGCTGGACAATCCCTGCTTGGAGAAGAATCAACAAAATAGCTAATAGCATAAAAAAAGATCCAAGATATTGAATTTTTAACAAAGCACTAGGGATGGAAATAGGCTAGGTCAGACTTTGGCTAA